ATATATATATATATATATATATATATATATATATATATATATATTTTTTTTTTTTTCACACCCAATACTCTACATTACTTAACAATTAAGATTTAATATAGTTTAAAATATTTTTTCCTCATTCCATTCATCGAAACATTTTTTAAATGCAAAATCATAACGAAATTTTACATTTTAAAAAGATAATACCTCAAATATATATCTTAATCATATCATTTTGTATTGATGAACTTTATTTTTATTTGTTAGAATTTTAAATGTGAATTTAAATTTCACAATTGAGTAAAAATGAGAAAGTAAAATATTATATAAGGTTTAAGATCTATTAATCCAATTTAATTTTTAACTGGGTTATTTATAAGGTTGGGAATTCAAGTGTGAGTCAAAGTGTCACATTGGATAAAAATGAGAAAGTAGAGCACTATATAAAGATGAAAGACCTATTGTCTTAAGGTTTTTGATAGAGAGTGATCAATCTCTTATATGATTGAACTCAGATGTTATTGGTGTTTGTGTTTTCCAATAAACCTTCTCCTCGATATATCCAACACATATATGTAATAAACAATATAATACATGTAACAAACAATAAAGGTTAAATCAATTTGTTAAGAAAATATAACTTTTATTTTTGTATCGTATTGTTGAATTGTTTACGCATATTAATTAAGTTTTTCTTATTGTTGTTTTTTCTTATATAATGTATGTTTCTATTTCTAATAATACATTAAGTTCTTTTTTCTCCAATTTTTTAAATTTTATAAGACTTAATAATTTAGTTTTATATTTAGATTTATTTTGATTTCTATTTTTATTTTTTATTTAACTGAGTCTCAAATAAAGTTATTTTGATATCTTCTCTTTTATTGATATTGTCATGTTTAAAAATTCTAACATGTCAAAATCTAGATCATGAAACCTCTTTAGTTTTTTTCTTTTTATTTTCTTCTTTTCCTCTATTTCCCTCCTCCTTACACCATCTTCTTCTACCTTCCCCCACTTTCCACTACCTTCTTTCATCTCTTACTAAATATTCACTTTACCCCATATTTAGAGAATAAAACACCATCCCATCAAAAGAATACTTTTTCAAATTCCAATATTCCCCGTCTAATATTATGAATTGCAGAAAATACAAAAAAATAAAATTTTAAACATAAAACATGGTGAAGGTAAGCGAAAAATAGAAAAAAATGGTGGAAGATAAAGAGAAAGTAGAGAAAAATAAAAATAAAAAGTTTACAAAATAAAAGATTACTTAGATTTTAACAAATATCATTTAAAATTGACTTAAAACCAATTTATAACTTTATTTAACAAAGATATTAACTCAAGTAACTAAAAAAAAAACTATAAAACCAATTAAGCCAATTTATAATTACCAATTATTATAGGTTCAAACTTTTTTTATTTTCCTATTATGTTTATTTATCAATGTGGTGTAACATAGTTGGAGATGATTTTGGTTTTTTAAGTGTAGGATCAAATATTGATCCTAGTCTATAAAGTGTTAATGTAATACTCTGTTGTAATTAAATTGAATTTGTAATTTTAAAATTTAAATTAAATCAATGATTTGTACCCATTTAATATTTTATTTCTTCAATTTAATTAAAAATCAATTGAGGGAGGAATTATTATATTCGACCCGTAAGGATAATCAAATTACTGTAGCTGATAACGTACAACAACTACTGCTATAAATACATACCAATTATTTATTTAAACACGTAAGGAATTATTTGAATAGGAATAAAGATAATGAGTAGTTAGCAACAACACGTATCCAAATATTAATTACCCTAAGTGCATGCAAGGTGGAGGGCCATCTTACCTAGACGGAAAATAGATAAATACTAAAAATTTTTAGAATAATAAAAGTAAATTTGTAGATATTAACATTGATTTAATTAAAAAAACACAATTTAAATATGTTAATATAGAATTATTTTTATAAACTAGTTTATGCATAAATTAATATTAATTTTGGAAAAATTTGATTCCATTTTTTCCTTTTAATAATATATATACAGCAATCCCAAAGACAATAAAGATAAAAGCCAAACCTACATAATATATCTGTGAAGAAAGTTTTTAAAGCAAAAGATGATTGTTGCTTACAGAATGTAATATAGGTTAGAGTAATTATATTAACAATTAAACAATACTTAATTTGGTGAATAATTTTTGGATTATTAACGATGTTGTTCGAGATTGTTGATGCATGTAGTTGTCGGCGGAGACTGGTAGCAGCTAGAAACTTCACCCAACTTCTTTCATAAATGAGAGAATCTTTCTCCCATTCTTTGTTGGATTCTCTCTTCCAACTTCACACACTTTCAATCTGGTTTCGTTGCTTGCAAAATTCCACTTGTATCATATCATAATTATCTGTTTCATGATAAAAACTAGGTCAATTTCGTAAATTGATAGAATAGTCTCCATACAACTTTGATGATGCCAATTTCATGCTTATAAATAGGAGGATGGTTAGAGTTCTTTAATCTGTTCACTCAACCCAACCAAATACCATAATCCATTCAACTATACAAGGATTAGCCACTAATTAATTCTCAACTCAAATTCTTTGCAGCCATAGAATCCATTAATCTAAACATAACAGCCAATTAAGAGCAATGGATTGTAAAAATCAGATTGATATGAAGAAGAAACTATTGAAAACAATTCTGCAGTTTGTTTTATCAGTGTCAGTGTTTTGTTTATTTGTATGGTACTCTTCTGGCTTTTTCATACTTCCTCAGTGTTTCAATGCTTACTTCTCCACCTGCCTTTTCTCCATGCTCACTCCCACTCTTCAAAGAAAATACATGTTTATCATCTGCAATGCCATCCTTGCTCTTCTAGCCATCTCACCACCTTTTCATCTACAGCTTCAGGCACAGGTTTCTGAAGAGGCTCTTGGAGATTTTCTTACTATTGAAGAAGCGAAAACGCAGGAAGATTATTCTGAACAAGTATCTGCAGCTGAACATGGCACGGAAGTGTTGATTATTGGAGAGGAAGAAGGAGAGACAGGAAATAGTAGTGAAGATCAACTGGCAAATACAGATGAACTGAATAGAAAGTTCGAAGAGTTTATAAGGAAAATGAAGGAGGAGATCAGGATTGAAGCTCAACGACAACCAATTGAAGTGTAGTACTTGCAATGATGATGATAATTATGATGATTATCGTCGCCAATTATTATTCCAAATGTTTATGAACTGTCTGTTCGGAATGAATAAATCCTAAACCTTTAAAAATAGGTTTAATGTCTCGGTAGGTCCCTATTTTCGGCGTGAATCTCAAATAGGTCCCTTTTCTTTTCGGCGTCTCAATTGGGTCCCCATTTTTGTAAAATTGTAACAATTAGGGGTCTGCCGTCAAATTGGACAAACGGCCGTTTAATTGTTGCTTACGTGGCATGAACAGTGTTTTCAGTAATGACACGTGGCATGATTCCCATCTGACACGTAAGCAACAATTAAACGGCAGTTTGTCCAATTTGACGGCAGACCCCTAATTGTTACAATTTTACAAAAATGGGGACCCAATTGAAAAACAGAAAAGAAAAAGGACCTATTTGAGATTCACGCCGAAAATAGGGACCTACTGAGACATTAAACCTTAAAAATATATATTAAAGATTGATAACTTTTAAAAATTAATTAGAATCAAAATAAAAATTGTGTGTCTATTAATATAAAAATAATGAAGTTAAAGAGTTAATTATGACAAAATTAAAGTTAAAAAATATTTGTAAATGGAATGAAAGTTTACAATCAATAAGATTGAAGTTTAAAATGCTCACTTCTTTTTTTAAAAAAAAAATACATTTCACAACACACTCAATTATTAATCATAAGATGAATAGCATCGTCTCTTCCATGAATGAACAATCTAAAAATTGAGGTATAGTACGAAATATTTTGAAAAGTATTCTTAATTTAAGGTGTTTTATGGTTTTAAAGTGTCCATTTGGAAGGATGAGAGATACTATTGGCTACTTTTAATGAATTCTGAATTTCCTTAAATGGGATTTCAAAATAGAATTTTCCATTTTGGTTAATCTATCAGAATTTGAATAAGTGTGATCATCAGTCTCTTTCCTGAACAAGTTGATCAACTTCCCAGGTAGCTAAACCTTAATCATCAGTTATGATAATGTTTTTGCGCTTTAAGGTATTTGATTTCGCAAATGTTAACATGCACGGACCTAGAAAGATAATTCCATGTGCTGTCAAGTAATTTTTCAAGAAGGGAAAAGGAAAATCAGATGAGTTTTGTTGGACATAAACCTGCATTTCTGCACCTTTGAACATCCAAAAGGGAGTAGTTTCATAAATCCATTGTTTTGAACCATCAATCTTGAGATAAGGGCCAAATTAAGTCCCTCAAAATTTCAACCTTTTCAGGTGATCTGTTAACGTATGAAGTTTTTTCATCAAGCTGATGGGTGGTGATGAGGCTCGACAATCATTGCTTTCAGAACATTCCAATGAGAAAAATGACCTTCAAAGGAGAAAGCCTAGAGGTGGTGATGTCTTGGAGAAGGAGATCAAGATCAAAGGAGAAAATGATGAACAAAAGCCTTTGAATCCTCAACGTACAGATGTAAAACCACTAGCAGAATTCCATTTCAGGCCAGTGTTGTTATGGTTAGCTGCATACCTAGGGGGAGGAACTATTTGCTTCCTTCTCACACAGGATCAGATAAAGGGCATAAAAACAAATGGGTTTCTCGATGCCATTTACTTCTGTGTTGTAACAATGACAACAGTTGGATATGGAGATCTTGTGCCAGATAGCCAACTGTCAAAACTTCTTGCTTGCGTTTACGTCTTCACTGGAATGGCTCTTGTAGGGCTAATTCTTAGCAAGGCAGCAGATTATATTGTTGAAAAGCAGGAAATAATCTTAGTTAAAACCATATTCAAGGGTGAAAATATTGGTCCAGAACAGCTTTCCAAAGAGGTTGAAACCAACAAAGCTAAATACAAACTCATCCTCACAGCATCCATCTTTTTGGTGCTAATGATTGCGGGGACTATTTTTCTCTATTTTATTGAAAATCTAGATTTTGTTGATGCCTTTTATTGTGTTTGTTCCACAGTCACTACTTTAGGTTATGGTGATAAGAGCTTTTCCACCACTTTTGGTCGTGCTTTTGCTGTGTTCTGGATATTGAGCAGCACCATTTGCTTGGCTCAGTCTTTTGCTTATATTGCCGAACATTATACCGAAAAAAGACAAAGGTCCCTTGCAAAAAGGGTTCTTGCACGAAAATTGTCCCACCTTGATCTTGAGGCAGCTGATCTTGATGGAGATCATGTAGTCAGGTAAATAGAACAACTGCTCTTGGTAACGAAAACAAAGATGATAATAATAATAATTGTGAGCTTATAAGGATTGTTCTTCTCTATATCATTAATAGATTGCACAAATATTTAGCTTAATTATAAGTCATGAAATGTTCACATTCAACATTCTTCGTTATTTCAGTGCTACAGAGTTCGTTTTGTATAAGCTGAAGGAAATGGGAAAGATCAGCCAAGATGATATTTTAGCTGTTCTGGATATTTTTAGACAACTAGATTTTGATCAATCAGGAACACTGACAGAAGCTGATCTCAGATATAACCCTGACTGAAGAGTGAGGTGAATTATTGACTGTTATATGGAAATACTTTTTTGACTATGAAGGTGATCGAGGCATGTAGTTTTGATGAGGACATGAAGAAAAATTGTAAGGAAACAGTCACTGAAGTCAAGGAAAGACAAGATCCAACAACTTCAAAAGCATGATAACATGAACTAAAGCTAGCAAATGTGTTAGAAAAATAGTAAATACTTTTGTTTGTAGAAATCTATCTTTGTATTCTTGATCTTGTTATAGTGTTTTATGGGAATAACCCTTTGTTAGTTCATCTATGCATTTCACTATTTCAGCCAAGGCATCCATGAGATGTGGAGTAAAATATTAAATAAAGTAATCATGTGGAGAAGTTCATACTTTTATTTTCTTTCATACTGCTGATTCATTGTACATGATTGATACAATTGTCACTTAGACCTGAATCTGGATACAGAGAACAAGTTATCAATGATAATTGTTTTGGACACAAAACAAAGCTTGAAATTTTCACTTTAGAAGTTTGGAGAGTCTTCAGTGTGTTCTGGCACGCTTGTTACATAATCCAAGAGTCCTTCACCAGCTTTTTCACCGTGTACATGATCTTCAGTTGAAAATTTGGAAACCCCTCCAAAAGCTATTATTGCAGCCAATAAGACCGTAGTGGAAGCAAACAAAGGCCAGAAATACGCCAGAATGGTCATAATTCGTGGTGCTGCATATAGCATCAGGAATAAGGACAGTGAAAATGCTATTGCAATGGTGATATGGTATTTATACTGCACAAGCATTTTTGTAACATCCATGGGAGAGAGAATTGAGGGATAGAGGAAGCAGAATGGAAAGATAGAGAGGGAATAAGAGTGTGGCTATATCTTCAATAATATTATTGAGTTTGCTGTTTATATTCTGAAGAGATTTTGAATTAGAAATGGTTGTCTGAATGATTCTGAGAGCTTGCTTGTTCCATCTGCCACTTATTCTTCTTCTAAAAGCCAAGATGCTTCTTAAACTGTTCTCTCAATAATAAAGTAGGTGGCTATGGTAAGATAATTTTAGACATTCACCTAAATATATAGAGCCAGTGCAAATGAAAAATTCTTCAACTTCGATGATCCTAATATTTATATCAATGATGATATAGTCATTCCTTAAAAGGTGTATTGGCTTGGGAATGCCAAATTTTGAATTAGAAATGTTGGATGAAGTCTGAGTGAACAGGAAAGGAACATATTCTTATTCTTATTATGCTTTATGGGGATGCTGTGATGAGGATCAACAAGACAAGAAAACATGAATTGTTGAATGAACATTTGATTGAGGTTAAACTTATTCTTCCTTTGGATTTAAGGTTTCTCTAAACCACACATAAACACTATTTCCCCTCATCATTATTTAATGAAAGAACCTTCCAAAACAATTCTAATGTTTTTCTTACCCAAACTCAGGTTTTGTAGTTATCGTGATGATAATCAAGTCTCACATCGTTTACTGTGTTAATAAAGATTAAAGATTATTGATATATACTTTTTTTACTTGGAATTTGAACTAAATTATATACAAGCATTGGTTCATGAAGCCAAGGATAAAGGAGTGTGTTATTGTAAACAATATTAAACTAATTATTATTGCTTTAAAATTAAAACTTAGAATGGGCTCAACTTCAACTTCACTCTCCTTAACTTAAACATCCAAATTTACCTTCTGAGCTAGGATTTTCCATTTCATATATAGATATTTTAGAATGTATTATTTAAAATATAAATCTATATTTTAACTTTTAATTTGTATTACAGATTGTACTTAAAATATTCAATTTAAAATATAAAATAAAATATACATCACAATTTAAAATATAAAATATATTTCCAAAATATATTTTTAAAATATAAATTTTGAATTTTAAATTATATCTTTCGGAATATAAAATAAAAAAATCATTCCATATTACAAATTTTATATTTTAAAATGGATAATCCAAGATATAAATTTATTTTTCGAACTATATATTTCAATACAAAATAAATAATATATTCTAGATTACAATGAAATGTATTTTTAAATAAGATAATACATATATTAATATTTGAATAGTTTATACAATTTTTACGTAATATATTCTAGATTACAATGAAATGTATTTTTGAATAAGATAATACATATATTAATATTTGAATAGTTTATACAATTTTTACGTATGATTAGATTAAAAAAATTATATTTATCTATTTTTAAAATTTGAAAAGAAAAATGTATCAAACTTTTAGACAGAGAAACAGAGATAAATTTTAACTTCGTATCAAAATTCAGTTATTAAAATATTTAACCCAAAACTTTTTCTCGTTCTCATTTTGTTCTTGTGCTTTCTTCTTATTCAACTTCTCCTGTAATTTACACTCTGCAATGTGTCTTGCATGATCTTCCACTAGTTATCTAAGCAACTCTGTTTACTCACATTTTGAAAACAGAACAATTTTAGAATATAGAAATCAATTGTAAATGAAAAGAAAAAGGTTTGCGAGAGTCTTAAACTAAAGGAATAAAAAACAGAACATGCTAGTATAAAAAACACACAGATGAGCGTGCTGCACTTTTCTTTACATTTCAAGAATCAACCAAATTCCTGAGAAAATTATGATTCTCCAATAACTAGTTGGACAATTTGGGAGAGCTTAAAATTATGATTCTCCAATCATTTAATAGTTCTGCATCCAATCATTTTGGCACCCTCTTGCAATCCAGAATTTGAGAAACTATACTTCTCTGGTTAACAGCAATTGCGAATGTTTCTTACTCAACATAATCTTCACTTTCCTCATTTTCAAATTTGTATTGTCATTTTTTCTACGAGATACCAAAGACTCAACAGATTGTGTCAAGTAAGGCACAAAGACGGTAAACCTCCCCAATCTGCAGCCACCTGCAAACCAGCAAGTATCGTTTGAAATAAACAGAGTTCAATGCCTTGGAAGCATTGAACTTTCTTTTTCCTCCTTCAAGAAGAGGACCTCTGGTTTCCTTCTTTGGTTGAAACTGAAAAGCCCAACAGTTTCCCGTTGGGCATTGATTAGATGAAGTTCAGAGTACTTTAAATAAAGACATATATGGTTAATTATGTTGGATAAAACAAACGTGCAATTAAGTTGGATGATTAACTTCTTTAAAAGGACAGAAAGGGGTAATTTCCGGCAGAAAAAGTCAATGACGACATGCACACAAAGGAGGGACTTGAACTTTCAAAGTCATAACATGAACTCCGAAAACCGTAACATTTTCGTTTAACTATTCTTTTTTCACAAAAAATACTATACATCTTAATCAAATCAAAGTCAATCCCAACATAACTATTTGAAATAAGGCTAGAGTTGTACACATATTTAGAAGATATTAACAAATTTCGATATCACTCAAATGCAAATAAACCTAGCCAGTAGCCATCATGCTTGAGAATAAATATTACTGTCAGATCTACATTTAGACTATAAGACATTCATTATAAAATAATTATATATCTGAATCTAATACAAAAAATTCCTCCAAAGACAAAGGAAAATGGATAAATCTGCATGGCATTTCATTCCTTGAAACAACATAAACAATGGAGAAAAGATGTAGTTGGAATTACCTAAACCCCATAGCCCAATAACATTAATTATGCAGTAACCAGTTCCCTAGACTCCAGCCATGACTTGGCTGCTACCTGTGTAGTCAAAAACCAGCCAGCCTTATCTGGAGCCTCGTGGAATGGAGCGTTGAGTTCGTTTAAATGTGACTCAACAACACTTGCCAAACCTTTTTCCGAATACCTGTGTTTCCCATGACCAGTATTAATACCAAGCACTGGTGGAAGATCCTCTCCTGATTCCAAAACCTTGGACAAATCATTTATCCAAGCATGTAACGCAGTAAGCGAAGCTCCAAGCGAGAGACTCTTCAGATGCAGAGACCATTGAGTTTGAGACTTGGTCTGTATATCCGTATATATTTCACGCGTCAACCCCAGGTCCAGAAGCTGGCATGCCATGTCCATCAAATTCAGGTTGACACTAAGATCGATCAGAGAATTGCAAAAGGGCTTCTTTACTTCATCAGCAATTGAATCAAAGAGTTCAGAAGCTTCTTTTCTAAACTCTCCATCGCCCTCCTCCAGCCCTTCGACCAAATATCTTACCACAGACCCAAGCTTTGGATTAGCCTTATCCACACAATCTTTTAGCTTGAAAAGTTCTTCTTTCGGTGTTTGGGTCATAACATTCAGAAGACAACCACAGAAACGGTCGTCTGGACTGAGACCCAAATCCAAAAGTTGATAAAACGTCTTCACAACATCATCAGTACGTCCGGCCTTCCCATAGCACTGCACGAGCGACGTCAGAACAAAAATAGTAGGCTCAAAGCCAGATTCAATCATTTCATTCAACATTCTTTCAGCATCTGAAACGTTCCCACTGCAAGAATATATGGTAATCAAGGACGAGAACGTCCAACTGTCACAAAGGCAAGTTGCAGAACTTTTCATGTCTTCGAAAATCTTAAATGCCTCATCAGCAAGACCAAGATCGGCACACATAGCTAAAAGGGTATTGTAAAGATGAGTATTCATCTCCATTCCCTTTTCCCTCATTTCCTTGTAAACAAAGAGAGCGTCTTCGCTGTAGCGCCCTCTACCATAGGCTCGCAAGAGAGACGCATAAGTCACCCAATTCGGTGACAATCCATTATTCATCATCTCCGTAAATATACTCTTGGCCTGCCAAGGCCTCCTAGCCCTCCCCATGGCATCTAAAAGAGTATTATAAATAACCATGTTTGGTTTAACACCAAGAACCTTCATCTCTTGGTAGACATTTAAGCATCCATCGTAATTCCCTGCCAAACCATACATCCTAATCAAGGTAGAGAAGGTAACGGTATCAAGGCGCCAACTCTCGGTCCTTGCACGATCATACAAGCGCAAAGCCATGTCAATGTTACCAGCCCTGCCATAAGCATCAATCATAACAGAGTAGGTAACTTCATCAGGCTCACAACCAAACGATGGCATCTTTTCAAACCACTCAACGGCCTTATGGGGCACCGAACAAATCCTAGCGCAGCTAATTATGGTCGAGAAGGTGACATTATCCGGCCTGACCCCTCTCTGAAGCATTTCATCAAACACCTTCTCGATGGCATCCATATCTCTGTTCTTCCGAAACACCTTGAGAGTGACGTTGTAGAGAATGGCCTCTCTGGAGGGTCTAATCCTACGCTGAAAGTAGCTGAGAACAAAGGGCACGACAAGGGAATTTGACATGTTGTTGATGACAGTTACAGCGTCTTGCTCTAAAACCCTACCCCCCAAATTCTTCAAAACCAGAGACACGTCCTCTTGAGAGGGATTGCAAGAGTCCAAGGAGTTGGCAACATTGACAAGAGAATTGTACCTGGCATCGTAGGATTTTCTCTCGAGTTGTTTCGCCCTCGGGCTTCGGGGATTCACCCAAATACGACTACTTTTATAGGAAGACGTGGAATTTCCCTCCGGATTCCCCTCCGATGGTATCTGTTCGGAAATGGGTTCGTGCAAGGACACCTGGGGAGCATGGAGAAGGGTTTTCGAGTGCAGGGTCGCAGAATGAGAATGAGAGGGTTGAAAAGAAGAGGAAGACAAGTTTCGAAGTTTGAATTTGCGAGAAGAGGAAGAAGAGGAGGAGGAGGAGGAGGAGGAGGAGGGAGAAGAAGAAGAAGAGATGGAGGGAAAATCGTGGAAGAGAGAAGAAGGAGAAGAGCAGATATTGTAAGCCATTTTTGCAGTCTATGCTCTGTTCTGCATCGCCTTATCTCCCACCTCACACTACCACCTTCAACAAATATCTAAAGAAGAGTGAGATATGAAACTAAGAAAATAAATGTTTTTTTCTAAAATGTCAATAATAATATTTATTAGTTGTTTTTAATATAAGCTCAAAGAGATAAAACATTGAAATATGTACTTGATATTTTTTTAAAATTTGTTTAACATTATGAATCTTTATAATAATAAAAAACTCGAAACGGATATATATATATATACATATATATATATATATATATATATATATACATACATACATATATATATATATATATATACATACATATATATATATATATATATATATATATATATATATATATATATATATATATATATATATATATATATATATATATATATACATATATATATATATATATATATATATATACATATATATAAAGGTCTACATGAATCAAATTTTATTGAAAGAAAGCATGAGGAATTGAGATATGATACATTTGCTCAATATAAACACGTGTAACGCGCTTCATACTCTATGGATCAGGGGTGCAAAAAGAAATACCCCAAACCCATCCAACCCATTGACCCACATCACTAAGGCTATATTATAAGCACGACACGAACAAAACAACATTAAGAGAAAAAATAAGTAATATAAGATTTACATTTACATGCTTCCACCTATCTTTTTATATTTACGGAATTGTCTCAAATACATTTCATTCTAACTAAAAAATTTTCAAGTTTTTTAAATCAATTTGACCCAATAATCTCAGAACAAAAATAATTAATAGAAATCAAAACAAAATATGATAAAGTAAAGGACTTTTTTTATTATTATTTTCACCATATATTCAATTTCTCCTTTTTTTTCCTAATTGTAGTATTTTGTTTTGAATTTTCCGAAAAACATTAAGTATTTATCCAAATAAATATAAAATATGTTTTTGGTTTCTTAATGCGAAATTTAATTATTTTTTTTAACGTTTATATATTTTAGTCTAATAATTTTAAAAATTGATGGATATAATTTTTTAGATTTTAAAATTTTTTAAAATATCTAACTCATTTTATAATAACATTTAAATTTGTTTAGTTCATTGAAAAAATATATGACAATTAAAAACGTAACTAAATTAAAAAGATTACGTCATTTTTTTTAAATTTGAAAAAAAAAATATATCAAAGTTAAAAAATAGTTAATTTTGTATCAAACTTCAAATACTAAAATAATATTTAACTCTAAAATAAAAATAAATTATGGTGTAATATTTAGTATTAAGGATGTAGTATTCAATAAATATATTCTTTATTTTATTATTTATCATTGGGCCCAAGCAGTGGTGCTGCATAGGGTGCCACGTTTGATGGGTATGCTTGTCATTTTACAATTGTAAGTGTTAATGGTGCCACATGCGATAAACCGTACCAATTGAAAAGTTTATCAAAGTTCTTCTGCTTTGCTTTTTGGTAAAAGGCCAAAAGCCTGAAAGCTATCATTTTGGAAAATATGTTATATTTTATCAATTTTTAAAAGGTAGAAATAAAAGGAAATAGACTTTCTTTAGACCAGAGGAAAGAGAAAATAAATTAAAAAATAAAATAAAATGTTTACCTTTTCTTTATAGAGTGTAGATATGTGAGAAATAGAATAAAAATTGTAAAGTAGTATAATTTAACTTATTCAAAAAGAGACGGTGAGAGAAATAAAATCATGTAAATAAGTTAGGTTAGAGTTTGATAAGTCTAACACTTATTTGTATTTATTTACTCAGTACATATTTTTTCTTAAGCTTTAATAGTCACCTATTTAAAAGTCAGCCATGTCTTAAGTATAGGTTTATATGACATTATTTCATTGAAATACGAAAATAATTCTATGCTCTTTAAAGATTAAATAAAATAAGAAAATTTAATTTGTAGAAAATAATAAATCGTAAGTCATCGTCTCACCAGATAATGCATAAATAAAAACAAATACATTAGTAAAAAAAAAAACCTTTAAATCACATACTTTAAAAACTACCACTACTCTTAAAACACTTTATAGGTTCTCACATATATCATATTATTCATTTGATTTATGTTCTATTTTTACAATTCAGTTAGAAAATAGTTAATGGATATTATTTTTGGTATTTCCTGTAGTAACAATTTTATTATAAATAAATAAACACACACATTTCCATTCACATTTAACACTAACGTAAATCATATACTTTGGGATGCTGATATTGAAAGGAGAGTGCGAAGTTTCATAAGGTTAATAAATATTCTAAAGCGTCTAACCACATTGCTTGAAATGATGAAAAAAGTTGGCACTGATTAATTAGGAAAGAAGAAATTTGGTAGCTAATAATTTAATGCTGATTGATCTGGTTTGAATCATAGGAACGGTTGTGAACAACATAAAATGTGATACTTTTAAGAATATTTTTTTATAATATTTTAACATTATTTATATATGTCATTGTTGGTTCAAAATTTCTTTACAATTAATAATAATTATTGTTATTATGGACTTATAGCCGACCGATGGTACCTCTTAGGCAAACGAACTGTGTGGACAAACAGTTAACCGTCCGGTAAAATGGACTCGCAACCAACCGAACAGCAAAGTTGCAGAAGAGTTCTGATAACTAAATCTTGATTATAAGATTATTACGTGAAGTCACCCTCCCCGCGGCTTGGACAAGGAGAAGAGAGAAGACAACACAACTGGACAGCGGAGCAGACAACTTTAAATGTTTTGGATTAGGATTCTAAATCCAGCCGAAACAATTATTATTATTATAAATGTTTACAGATGTACCAATCACGTGGTAAATAATTGTTAAGAAAATGTGATCAAAAGAATTGTTATCTCAACATAAACTAGACATTATCTTCATACGAAAGCAACTTTTATCACTTGCCAAGTCCCTTTCACTTCAGCCGTAAGAAACCATTTCAAGTTTTATTTTTTCTCCTTCTCTGTTTAAAGAGGCAAAATTAAAGTAGATGTGTTTTGGATCGACGGTGATTCCGCGTATATGGATCCATATCCATCTATTTATACAAATTACATCATAAGTTGTTGGGTAGGAAAGAAGAGAACATGGTTGCCAACTTGTCACTGTCCGATGAAGTCATTGTTCAGTAACCACTAAAGCATGAGCAGGCAAAGCGCATTCATCTTTCTCTAAAAGACAACGTGCAATAACATCATTAAATCGTCACCTTCCTCACCCAAAATTCCCCCAGCAAAATACCAAGTGAAAAACAAGAATTTCCTAATGTAAATACAAACAAACCAGTGTCATTCTTATTTATATTTTTTGTTGTTTGTAACCAGAAACCAACAAGAAAGAATTTGTTAGGTTTACTTTCATAAGAAAATCGAGCATCACCAAATCGAGTAACCGAAGCCCGTGTAAACGCAAAATGGAAATAATTGAGAGTATTTATCATGACACTGACTAATTATTCAATATTATTAGTGGTGTTATTGGAGCTAAAAAGTTACCTTTGTTTTGTCAAAAAAGCATATTGATAATTCAAGGTGGTGTCGTTGTTATATAGAGATTAGCCGCCCACCATTTAATTCGAAGCCCCACCGGCACCAAATGCAATGGAAACTGACTTTTACCGGAGAAACTTTATTGATCAAGAGTAGTGAACATGTAAGATATTTCAGGTAACATGTATTAGAATTGTAATTAATTTGTACTCACAAAAGACAAAGAAGATTATTATTCCTTGGGTTGATGATTGCATGCATGAGCGGCACAGCACAGATGACAGAATCGATGAATAAACAGAAGGTGATCGTGGAGATGACGATCACATAATTGAGCAGGCAGAGGCGTTATCTTCACAGAAATATTCATCGCAACGGCTCACGTAACAGGGTCTGCACCCACCGTAACTGTCGTAAATAGGTCTTCCATAACAAATATCATAACATGGTGGTGGCCCACCGTGCCCATGAAAGCATGGTCCACCTCCCTGACCTTCATAGCATGGTACACAGCATACTCCGATCGGAACCGGCCTTGGCGGCGGCTCTGGAACCGGACAAGGCACCGGCCTTGGCGGCGGCGCTGGCACCGGAACCGGCACCGGCACCGGAGCGGGCGGAGCCACCGGCACTGGAGCGGGCGGAGCCACCGGCTCTGGAGCGGGCGGATTCGGTTTCGTCGGGGGAGGGGGCTTTTCGGGCTTGGGCTTCTCTGGCTTCACCGGTTCGATGGGTTTTTCGGGCTTGGGCTTCTCTGGCTTCACCGGTTCGGTGGGTTTTTCAGGCTTAGGCTTCTCGGGTGGTTTGGGCTTGGGCGGTTCGACGATTTCAATGCTTTTGATAGTCCCACAGCCTTTGCAGCAAATCTTGTCCCTGAGCTTCTCCGGGTTACAGCATACCACCGTTATGGTGACGATGTCATGCTTCTCGTCATAAAACTGGTCTCGAATTTCTCTTGTTCACAAAATTTTCAACACCCCAAAATCAACTCAGTTTGATTCTCTTTTCATTCACTTACCACACTGTTGGTGAACTGATTATTTACTTTAGTTTTGTAAATCATTCCATATCGAGCATGCAAGTTTTCAGTACCAGAACAATAACAGTAACGCCAAATTAATCAAAAAAGAAAAGAAATCGATTGAGAATTTGGTACTCACGAGGGAATTTGCAGAGAATTCTCTTGACCTTCTTGTAGCATTTGTGGCACTGGAGATCAACCTTGAGTCTCATTACGGTGACCTGATCAATGAACGCGATCGATTAGAGAAATTAAGAATTTGAGTTGAATAGTGATGAAGAGTGTTGAATTGATTGGGATGAAATTGGAAAGAAGAAGAATTAAGGGATGCGCATGGAAGTACCTTTTCAGCCATGGTGGGAAGTATGTGATGGAAAAGAAGTGTGAAGAATAAGGTATGGAAATGACAGGGGGAAAGAGAAGAAGGTATGGAGGAGGGTTAAGTAAGGAACAGGTGAAAGAGAAACCAATACGATAAGAACACGTAGTGTAACTGAATGATACGTTACTACGTTGGAAATTGTCGTGGTTTGGAGGAGCAGTGCAGCGAGAACTAGCCTTGCCGACTCTGCAATTCACCTCATCATCGCGTTCAACGTATTTTCACTCTTTTTAATATTTTTAGTTTTATACTGTGTACATTTAAAATAATAAAATTTATTTTTCTTATGCTCAATAATGATTGATCGTGTGCTAAGACCTTCCTACCTTCCATGTCTATCCAAACTAGTTTACCAAATCCTGTCATTTATTACAGTCCTTGGGTTATCAAATTGCCAAACCTTTGGCTGATACGGAATAGAAAAAGAGAGAGAAGATACAAATTTTTGTTTACAAATTTTTGTTTACATATTAACAAATATTTCGTTGTTAGTATAAAACAATATCATAATTAAGATATAAAATGATAAGTAATTTTTATTATTTTAATACAAAACTGTATTGGATAATAAAATATTGTTATTGCTTATATTAATGATTGTGACCATCTTTTGTCATGATCAATGAAAATATGAAAGACATGCAACTATAACTTTCATCACATGCATAAATGATAGTGACAATTTAAGGTCCCTAAATTGTGATATTATAAATTAATGTGAAAATTATAGAAAATATAGCATTTTGTTATCTAAAATATTTTTAATAAAAATAATAAAAATCACTTATTCATTTCCATAAATCACAAATTGTTTTATATTTATCACATGTATAAGATTTTTTAACATATGAAAATGAGTTAACAAGATCCAAGATAAAGTACTATCATGTCAGAATACTTAAGACAAAAATAAATTAACAAAAATTGATTGAAACGTATAACTCTTTAAGCATTCAATAGATAAAAAATATATAATAGAAACTCAAATAAATATTTAAATTTTCAAGAAATTTAAAACTTAATTATTATTTTTTCTTTTAAATATCACATTTAAGATGTAATATTTTCATTCAAATATTTAACATTAAAAATCATTTTGTACTGCTGTAATTAGTTTTTCTAATATTATTTATAATTTTTTTCTTTAATTTTCTCTTTTTTATTGAAATTTTGTGAGGTTGGTTCAAGGTAGATTAAGTTTTCTGATGGAGAAATCGAATTCTTAATTCTTATGTAACATCTCAAATTCTCACACTTGATATTTCATAAATAATATGAGAACTGTAACATATTTACGGTCATCCATTCGAAAATATAAAAGATTTTACATTAATTATATATTATAAACTCAGATTTCAAGTTAAAGATAAATCGAACTTTTCTCTACTATCTTTCCACCTCCATCTTCACTTGTACTGGATTAGACGACACTCCTTCATCTGCTTCCGTATAACATATACATTGTACGATCATCACAAAAATATGATTTTTCTAGCACATGCACAAATAAGTATGAGTGAGCTACCATGTAACAAACTATTAAAAATAATGCATGATACTACACCTAACTTATATTCATGAAAATGATTTTTTGCTAGACTCTTTTATCCGGATCTAACGTTGATGGAAGTCTCGGATGGTCATGCACTTGTGGTGACCTCCACTCTCCATACAACAATATAATGGCCAAATACAATCCAACATGTCACCACAAAGTTAGTCCGTTAACACCTATGCCCGTTAACACATTGAGACTGGAGAGTTATTAGAGTATCAGGATGACCTTCCCTACAAGACCCTCAACATCAACGTGTACACAATACCATGCCACTACATAATCTCTTCACGAGACTCATATCATGTTCATCAACTCATACCAGGTTTAGATGCATAAATTTACATCCAATATCATATAACACATCCATCATAGATTTCATATAAATTTAGTATATTACAAAATAAAATAGTACATAATCCGTTCAATAAGAATTAAGCTAAAAACCTGTTGAGTAGGCTTCCAAGAAAGAGAGGTGCGTCACAATGGACAACTTAAGTACAAGTCTAGCCAAAGTGTTCTTCAACTAGTTTTTAACAAATTTCTTATTCACATATTCAAAATAACAACATATTTTTATATTAACAATATTAACACATAAATTCAAGCATGAACAGGTATATAACTACCATATAAACATACACAATAATTCAATACATGAATAGTCATACAATAACTTTAAATAATTAACATAATAGCATAAAAAAGTTAGCTTCCCCGTCTCTTTTTCAGACTCATTTTCTTGACTAGAGGTTCTTCCCATAAAACTTATGGAATCTCCATTCTAAAGTTTCTTACTACAATATCTTCATAATTTTTTCTTTTCTACTTAATCTCTCTACATCTTAGGTGCAAAAACTTCATTCCTCCTTCTTGCTATTTATAGGCCAAACTTTTGACACTATTTAAGTTTTTTTTTACTATTCATTATTTTATTAAAAAAATATTATTTTAATCCCAAAACATATATGATCTTCCCTGCACCAACGTGGCTTATCCCTTTTTTACTATTCCCTTTTTTTTTACTATTCATTTTTTTAATTTTTTTTTTTAAAAAGCTTCCAAAAATTGGTTCTTGAACCCTTACTATAATTCTCTATCGTAATTCTTTTTTATTATACGTTTTCTCACAATAATTTTTTTATTAATTATATTTTCTATCCATAAGAAAATTATTACTACCAATATTAATATTAATAAAATTATTATTATGTGTATTGTAGAAATAAAATGACATTGATGCTTTATGGGAAGTTTTTCTTAAAAAAAGTATATTTGAAAAAAAAAATGTTTGTGTGATAAACTGAGTTTATTTTAATAATTGAATAAATATTTTAGATTCTGAAAAATTCATCACATACCTGTTAATTAATTAAATAAACACAATATAATTGGTTGGTTGCATCACATTTTGCACATTCCACTTAAAATTGTCATGGCAATGATAATGGCTTCAACCACTGCTTTTTCAGACCCAAGTTCAAGCTTGTTCAAGCTTTTCTATATATATTTTTCTTTTGTTAATATATTATTATATCATTAGAATAAAATTGTTTTGTGATTGATTATTACAAAAATTCAAGAGTAGTTAAGTGTAAATCACAATGTCATTTATGTAATTAATTTTAGGTTTAATTGCTTGTTTTGTCCCCAGTTTGGCTGTAACGTGTCAAGTTAGTTCACAATTTTAAGAAAGTTTCAATTACGTCCAAACTTGATTTAAAAGTGTCAATTTCGTCCAAACGTAGTAAAATTTGCTTCAATCAAGTTCCTTCCGTTAAATCCACATAAACGGACGTTAATTCTTTTTCTCTCTCCTCTGTTGCTCTGCTCCTCTCCTCTGCTCCTTGCACAACAGCAGACCCTCTCTTTCTTTTGAATATTTGCATACACTAAATGAATAGTTATAGTGATCACAATGACAAAGTGAAGCAACGGTTATAATTTTTGTTATAGGGATGAAAATAATGCATTTGCACTAAAAGTTGTCTATCATATTCTATATGGTAGTGTCTAATTTGGTCAATCAATATTTTAAGAAAATAAAAAGGTGTAAACAAATAATCATTTCAATGAAAAGTTTGAAAGAACGAAAAACTTTTAAATAATTTTCAATATCTTTTATTTTAATAAAATTACTTTCTTTATGTTTTAATAAATATTTTTTCGTATTTTATTTATATAAAACATACGCTTATATTTTTAAAACTTTATTTTTTACCTTTTTATATTTTTATTCAATATTATATCTTTAAATAAAATAAGAGAAATGTGTTGTTTACTAAATATATCAGGTAGATTAATTTTATTTTTATTAAAATTATAGTTGAGACGAATGTGAATTCTAAATCTAGAGGACATATAAATGTCACACATAATATTAAAATCTTCTTTAACATCATTTTAAAGAAGGTAAATGATATTTCTGCAATTATAATTTTTAATTTAATTGGTCTATACATAACTCTCCAAACTATTTAAAACATGTTTCTATTATAATTTATAAATACAGTTTAACTAAAAAATTATTGTTTTATAATAATCAAGTTCAGTTTTAACTAGTAATTAAATAGTTTGTTAATAAAACTTTTCTTTTATGGAGTGGATCCTTCTCTTTTGACAGTAAATGGAGACTCTTCCATTCCAGAAATGTGAACCATTTGATTATCTTCCTATTTTAATTAACCTCTTTATATATAACAATTACATTATATGTATCTCTTAATCTAAACTATTCATTTAAATTCAAATATTAAAATAAATCTTAGTGTATGCAAATATTCAAAAGAAAGAGAGGGTCTGCTGTTGCGCAGAGAAACAGAACCGAGGAGCAGAGGAGAGAGAAAAAAAGTAACGTCCGTTTCTGTAGAATTAACGGAAGGGACTTGATTGATGCAAATTTTACTACGTTTGAACGAAATTGACACTTTTAAACCAAGTTTGGACGTAATTGAAACTTTTTTAAAATGGTGGACTAACTTGACATGTTGCAGCCAAACTGGGGACAAAGCAAGCAATTAAACCTTAATTTTATTATACATATGTTGTGACAAATGAATAATAAATACCGTATTTTATTGGATTTCGTTTTAGAAACCTTAATGGTAGTGTTATTGTTTTTATTTCTTTGACTTTCTTGTATTTTGCAGGGGTTTTTATGAACCAATGGAAGGTAAACTAAGTATTGGCCATTTGACTTTGTGAGCCTCTTTTTTCTTCCCTTTGCAAAATTTGAAAAAATTATATAGAACAAAATACAAGAAAGACAGAGAAAGAAGAACAATAACACTATCATTAGGATAATCTACAACGAAATCCATTTGTTATTCATTTGTCACAACATATGTATAATAGAAATTGATTACTTAAAATGTTTATAGTTAACTACTTTAAAATTCTTTTAATAATCAATAACGTAACAAATTTATTCTAGTGATATAATAATACATTAATAACAAAAAAAAAGTTATAGTTTAAGTAATGTTGTCAAAATGGGTTAGCAATCGCGGGTTAACCCGGCCTACTATGGGTTCGGGTTGGGTTTGAAACAAATTAAATTTTTTTATATGAGTCAATTTTCAACCTGGCTCACTTAGAATCCTGCTCAGTGGTTGAATCCGTGGTGAGCTAGGTTGGCTCACCAACTCACCTAGTTTAATTTAATTATTTATTATTTTGTGTTTCAATATTATTAGGTAACATTTTTTCTATTGTATTATAAATGGGAATTAAAAAAATGTTTCAAAAGAGCAAAATATTATAAAGTTATCCATTCAATACTGTAATCTTATAAATGGATAAATGACATAGAATTATCAATATTACAAACTTATTTATCCCTTTTTGGGTGTGCTTTTGGATTACATTTGAGTTATAAGTTAAATTTTTTGTTTTAAATTATCTTTGGAGTTTAACATTATTTTAGAGTAAAATTATTTAAAATTGAATTAAAAAAATTGTATTTTTTTTATGAAAAAAACTTATAATTAAGTGAACTAGTGAGTCAACTTGTTTAACCCACTAACCCGTTATGGCTCGAACCATGTTTCAATTTTTTTTGACTCATTAATAAATGAACCGGATTGAGTTGGCTCACTAAGTAACCAACCTGTAGTGGGTTAGAACGAGTTGAGTCAAGTGACCCATTTTAATAGCACTAGGTTGAAGCTATTATCATTGTGGTGACAATTTTTTTTCAGTATAATATGCAAAATATGATGCACCTAACCAAATATATTTTACTTATTAAATTAGTTTGAAATATTTATTGAATTATTAAAATAAACTCAATTTATCACACAAATATCTTTTTTTTCAATATACCTTATTAAGATAAATTTTTCATAAATTTCATTTCTACAAATGGATCTATTAATTGTAAGAGCTAACAATCGATCCCTCAAAATCTTTATTTGGTGTTTTGTTCCACCGTCATCAATTTCTATCAAAATTATGTTATTTAAAATTGAATTCTGGAAAATATTTTATGATTTATTTAAAATAAAAAAGGATAAAAATTATAATTAAAATATGAATATATTGTCATATAATAAATTGTCAAAAAGTTTAGGTAAGAGATAATGAATCAATTAATCATAGGATTTAATTATATGATCGGTAGGTTTTTACCTCAAAGTTTGGTTTATTGGAGAGTATAATTCTACTATTGTATTTGAGAATTGTGTATGAATAGAAAATGACTTCATGTAAAAAGAACATGTAGAATATGCATGCATATACCATCAAAGTAAAGGGAAAAAAATTGTTTTCATGCAGTTATCCACAATTTTTTTAATAAAATATTATATCATAATAAAATTTTAATGTGAAAAATAGATTGAATATGAAAATAGCATTCCTTCAATGCATTTCAATTTTTTTTTTCTAACCTTTTTAAAGTTAAATTTTTAAGAAAGAAGGAAATTTCTCTCTCTCTCTCTCTCTTTTCATTTCATCCTCATTTCTCTTTCCTGTTGAATCAAATATACTATTAAATTATTATTTCTGAAGTATGTTAATATTTTTTTTTCTAAAAAAAATATAAAATATTGTAAATTAAATCAATTCAATTAGAAGTTCGTTTATACGTCAATTGTTTTAAAAGGTGATTTATAACTCTATAAAATAATTAAAAGTTTTAGATAAGTATATATTTTCTTTTAAATACCTAAACAAAATTTATATTTTCACATATTTATTTATTTTTATATTTAATATATGTTTCTGCTTTGTACCAATAATAGGGATACTAGTTATCGTGATTGCATATGGACCAAACTTCTGGACTCGGGAAAGTGCACATACTGTTTATCAAGGCTAGATGTCATCCACTCAATCAAATTTCGGTTTTGTGTTCTTGCCTACTTTAATAATTATTAATATTAGTATGCAAAAATTTATTATGTCAAAGAATAATTGTTTTTGAAGAGTATCATTTTTAATTTTCAATTTTTCTAATCCTTTTTAATCGTTCATTTTATACTAAACTAATCTAAAACCCTACGTACGCACGGTTTATTTAATTTTTTTTAAAGGATTTACGTTAGATTTATTATTATGATGATAGGTCTGTTTTTTCTTTATCAGTCTCTTATTTTTAAATAAGTTATATAGTAAAATTTCCACATTAATATTAGAGTAACAATCATTTTCAATTACACTAATTGAACAATAAACCATTGAATATTTATGAATTTAATCTACAATCAAAGTCTCATTAAGTACAAATTATTGAACATTTTTATGAATTTAGTTTATCATAAAGTTCTCATTTAATATGAGTTTAGAAGCTCACGTACCATACCATATTGTATTAATTCAGAGGAAATTACAAAATGTTTTAACTGAAATGGAACGAGGATAATCACTGGTAATCGATCGGTGTAGGAGGGTAATCTGTAGAATACACTCTGACTCTCAAGTCAGAATTTTTCTATGTAAATCTTTAGTAATTCAATAGTGAGTAAAAGTGATTTTTACCTCGAAATTAAACTCATATTTATAGAATTTATAAGAATCTGACCAATTAAGAGTTTTAATTTAAAAATAATTATTTATCAGTAAAGTCAATGAACTTTGTGTCATTTTGATAATAGTAGTATCACATGTGTCTTATTCTATATTTATTATTTTAATTTAATTTGATATTTTTTTAATGGAATATTTTTTTAAAATTGAGAATAAATTTAATTTTTATATAAACGTTATATTAATATTTTAATTAAAATGAAGTAATTTTGTTAAATATTTTTGGAATTATTTTCATATTAACTCTAACTATATTATTGTTAATTTTGTACTCACAAAAGATACAGAAGATTATTATTCCTTGGGTTGACGATTGAATGCATGAGAGGCACAACACAGATGACAGAATCGATGAATAAACAGAAGGTGATCATGGAGAGGACGATCACATAATTGAGCAGGCAGAGGCGTTATCTTCACAGAAATATTCATCGCAACGGCTCACGTAACAGGGCCTGCACCCACCGTAACTGTGGCAAATAGGTCTTCCACAACAAACCACATAACACGGTGATGGCCCACCGTGCCAATGAAAGCATGGTCCACCTCCCTGACCTTCATAGCATGGTACACAACATACTCCGATCGGAACCGGCCTTGGCGGCGGTGGACAATGCGGCGGTGGCGGACAATGCGGCGGCGGCGGCGGACAATGCGGTGGCACCGGACAATGCGGCGGCACCGGACAATGAGGCGGCGGCGGCCTTGGAGGCGGCGCCGGACAAGGCGGCGCCGCACAAGGAGGCGGCGCCGGACAAGGCTTGGGCTTCTCTGGCTTCACCGGTTCGGTGGGTTTTTCAGGCTTAGGCTTCTCGGGTGGTTTGGGCTTGGGCGGTTCGACGATTTCAATGCTTTTGATAGTCCCACAGCCTTTGCAGCAAATCTTGTCCCTGAGCTTCTCCGGGTTACAGCATACCACCGTTATGGTGACGATGTCATGCTTCTCGTCATAAAACTGGTCTCGAATTTCTCTTGTTCACAAAATTTTCAACACCCCAAAATCAACTCAGTTTGATTCTCTTTTCATTCACTAACCACACTGTTGGTGAACTGATTATTTACTTTAGTTTTGTAAATCATTCCATATCGAGCATGCAAGTTTTCAGTACCAGAACAATAACAGTAACGCCAAATTAATCAAAAAAGAAAAGAAATCGATTGAGAATTTGGTACTCACGAGGGAATTTGCAGAGAATTCTCTTGACCTTCTTGTAGCATTTGTGGCACTGGAGATCAACCTTGAGTCTCATTACGGTGACCTGATCAATGAACGCGATCGATTAGAGAAATTAAGAATTTGAGTTGAATAGTGATGAAGAGTGTTGAATTGATTGGGATGAAATTGGAAAGAAGAAGAATTAAGGGATGCGCATGGAAGTACCTTTTCAGCCATGGTGGGAAGTATGTGATGGAAAAGAAGTGTGAAGAATAAGGTATGGAAATGACAGGGGGAAAGAGAAGAAGGTATGGAGGAGGGTTAAGTAAGGAACAGGTGAAAGAGAAACCAATACGATAAGAACACGTAGTGTAACTGAATGATACGTTACTACGTTGGAAATTGTCGTGGTTTGGAGGAGCAGTGCAGCGAGAACTAGCCTTGCCGACTCTGCAATTCACCTCATCATCGCGTTCAACGTATTTTCACTCTTTTTAATATTTTTAGTTTTATACTGTGTACATTTAAAATAATAAAATTTATTTTTCTTATGCTCAATAATGATTGATCGTGTGCTAAGACCTTCCTACCTTCCATGTCTATCCAAACTAGTTTACCAAATCCTGTCATTTATTACAGTCCTTGGGTTATCAAATTGCCAAACCTTTGGCTGATACGGAATAGAAAAAGAGAGAGAAGATACAAATTTTTGTTTACAAATTTTTGTTTACATATTAACAAATATTTCGTTGTTAGTATAAAACAATATCATAATTAAGATATAAAATGATAAGTAATTTTTATTATTTTAATACAAAACTGTATTGGATAATAAAATATTGTTATTGCTTATATTAATGATTGTGACCATCTTTTGTCATGATCAATGAAAATATGAAAGACATGCAACTATAACTTTCATCACATGCATAAATGATAGTGACAATTTAAGGTCCCTAAATTGTGATATTATAAATTAATGTGAAAATTATAGAAAATATAGCATTTTGTTATCTAAAATATTTTTAATAAAAATAATAAAAATCACTTATTCATTTCCATAAATCACAAATTGTTTTATATTTATCACATGTATAAGATTTTTTAACATATGAAAATGAGTTAACAAGATCCAAGATAAAGTACTATCATGTCAGAATACTTAAGACAAAAATAAATTAACAAAAATTGATTGAAACGTATAACTCTTTAAGCATTCAATAGATAAAAAATATATAATAGAAACTCAAATAAATATTTAAATTTTCAAGAAATTTAAAACTTAATTATTATTTTTTCTTTTAAATATCACATTTAAGATGTAATATTTTCATTCAAATATTTAACATTAAAAATCATTTTGTACTGCTGTAATTAGTTTTTCTAATATTATTTATAATTTTTTTCTTTAATTTTCTCTTTTTTATTGAAATTTTGTGAGGTTGGTTCAAGGTAGATTAAGTTTTCTGATGGAGAAATCGAATTCTTAATTCTTATGTAACATCTCAAATTCTCACACTTGATATTTCATAAATAATATGAGAACTGTAACATATTTACGGTCATCCATTCGAAAATATAAAAGATTTTACATTAATTATATATTATAAACTCAGATTTCAAGTTAAAGATAAATCGAACTTTTCTCTACTATCTTTCCACCTCCATCTTCACTTGTACTGGATTAGACGACACTCCTTCATCTGCTTCCGTATAACATATACATTGTACGATCATCACAAAAATATGATTTTTCTAGCACATGCACAAATAAGTATGAGTGAGCTACCATGTAACAAACTATTAAAAATAATGCATGATACTACACCTAACTTATATTCATGAAAATGATTTTTTGCTAGACTCTTTTATCCGGATCTAACGTTGATGGAAGTCTCGGATGGTCATGCACTTGTGGTGACCTCCACTCTCCATACAACAATATAATGGCCAAATACAATCCAACATGTCACCACAAAGTTAGTCCGTTAACACCTATGCCCGTTAACACATTGAGACTGGAGAGTTATTAGAGTATCAGGATGACCTTCCCTACAAGACCCTCAACATCAACGTGTACACAATACCATGCCACTACATAATCTCTTCACGAGACTCATATCATGTTCATCAACTCATACCAGGTTTAGATGCATAAATTTACATCCAATATCATATAACACATCCATCATAGATTTCATATAAATTTAGTATATTACAAAATAAAATAGTACATAATCCGTTCAATAAGAATTAAGCTAAAAACCTGTTGAGTAGGCTTCCAAGAAAGAGAGGTGCGTCACAATGGACAACTTAAGTACAAGTCTAGCCAAAGTGTTCTTCAACTAGTTTTTAACAAATTTCTTATTCACATATTCAAAATAACAACATATTTTTATATTAACAATATTAACACATAAATTCAAGCATGAACAGGTATATAACTACCATATAAACATACACAATAATTCAATACATGAATAGTCATACAATAACTTTAAATAATTAACATAATAGCATAAAAAAGTTAGCTTCCCCGTCTCTTTTTCAGACTCATTTTCTTGACTAGAGGTTCTTCCCATAAAACTTATGGAATCTCCATTCTAAAGTTTCTTACTACAATATCTTCATAATTTTTTCTTTTCTACTTAATCTCTCTACATCTTAGGTGCAAAAACTTCATTCCTCCTTCTTGCTATTTATAGGCCAAACTTTTGACACTATTTAAGTTTTTTTTTACTATTCATTATTTTATTAAAAAAATATTATTTTAATCCCAAAACATATATGATCTTCCCTGCACCAACGTGGCTTATCCCTTTTTTACTATTCCCTTTTTTTTTACTATTCATTTTTTTAATTTTTTTTTTTAAAAAGCTTCCAAAAATTGGTTCTTGAACCCTTACTATAATTCTCTATCGTAATTCTTTTTTATTATACGTTTTCTCACAATAATTTTTTTATTAATTATATTTTCTATCCATAAGAAAATTATTACTACCAATATTAATATTAATAAAATTATTATTATGTGTATTGTAGAAATAAAATGACATTGATGCTTTATGGGAAGTTTTTCTTAAAAAAAGTATATTTGAAAAAAAAAATGTTTGTGTGATAAACTGAGTTTATTTTAATAATTGAATAAATATTTTAGATTCTGAAAAATTCATCACATACCTGTTAATTAATTAAATAAACACAATATAATTGGTTGGTTGCATCACATTTTGCACATTCCACTTAAAATTGTCATGGCAATGATAATGGCTTCAACCACTGCTTTTTCAGACCCAAGTTCAAGCTTGTTCAAGCTTTTCTATATATATTTTTCTTTTGTTAATATATTATTATATCATTAGAATAANTCTCTCTCTCTCTCTCTTTTCATTTCATCCTCATTTCTCTTTCCTGTTGAATCAAATATACTATTAAATTATTATTTCTGAAGTATGTTAATATTTTTTTTTCTAAAAAAAATATAAAATATTGTAAATTAAATCAATTCAATTAGAAGTTCGTTTATACGTCAATTGTTTTAAAAGGTGATTTATAACTCTATAAAATAATTAAAAGTTTTAGATAAGTATATATTTTCTTTTAAATACCTAAACAAAATTTATATTTTCACATATTTATTTATTTTTATATTTAATATATGTTTCTGCTTTGTACCAATAATAGGGATACTAGTTATCGTGATTGCATATGGACCAAACTTCTGGACTCGGGAAAGTGCACATACTGTTTATCAAGGCTAGATGTCATCCACTCAATCAAATTTCGGTTTTGTGTTCTTGCCTACTTTAATAATTATTAATATTAGTATGCAAAAATTTATTATGTCAAAGAATAATTGTTTTTGAAGAGTATCATTTTTAATTTTCAATTTTTCTAATCCTTTTTAATCGTTCATTTTATACTAAACTAATCTAAAACCCTACGTACGCACGGTTTATTTAATTTTTTTTAAAGGATTTACGTTAGATTTATTATTATGATGATAGGTCTGTTTTTTCTTTATCAGTCTCTTATTTTTAAATAAGTTATATAGTAAAATTTCCACATTAATATTAGAGTAACAATCATTTTCAATTACACTAATTGAACAATAAACCATTGAATATTTATGAATTTAATCTACAATCAAAGTCTCATTAAGTACAAATTATTGAACATTTTTATGAATTTAGTTTATCATAAAGTTCTCATTTAATATGAGTTTAGAAGCTCACGTACCATACCATATTGTATTAATTCAGAGGAAATTACAAAATGTTTTAACTGAAATGGAACGAGGATAATCACTGGTAATCGATCGGTGTAGGAGGGTAATCTGTAGAATACACTCTGACTCTCAAGTCAGAATTTTTCTATGTAAATCTTTAGTAATTCAATAGTGAGTAAAAGTGATTTTTACCTCGAAATTAAACTCATATTTATAGAATTTATAAGAATCTGACCAATTAAGAGTTTTAATTTAAAAATAATTATTTATCAGTAAAGTCAATGAACTTTGTGTCATTTTGATAATAGTAGTATCACATGTGTCTTATTCTATATTTATTATTTTAATTTAATTTGATATTTTTTTAATGGAATATTTTTTTAAAATTGAGAATAAATTTAATTTTTATATAAACGTTATATTAATATTTTAATTAAAATGAAGTAATTTTGTTAAATATTTTTGGAATTATTTTCATATTAACTCTAACTATATTATTGTTAATTTTGTACTCACAAAAGATACAGAAGATTATTATTCCTTGGGTTGACGATTGAATGCATGAGAGGCACAACACAGATGACAGAATCGATGAATAAACAGAAGGTGATCATGGAGAGGACGATCACATAATTGAGCAGGCAGAGGCGTTATCTTCACAGAAATATTCATCGCAACGGCTCACGTAACAGGGCCTGCACCCACCGTAACTGTGGCAAATAGGTCTTCCACAACAAACCACATAACACGGTGATGGCCCACCGTGCCAATGAAAGCATGGTCCACCTCCCTGACCTTCATAGCATGGTACACAACATACTCCGATCGGAACCGGCCTTGGCGGCGGTGGACAATGCGGCGGTGGCGGACAATGCGGCGGCGGCGGCGGACAATGCGGTGGCACCGGACAATGCGGCGGCACCGGACAATGAGGCGGCGGCGGCCTTGGAGGCGGCGCCGGACAAGGCGGCGCCGCACAAGGAGGCGGCGCCGGACAAGGCTTGGGCTTCTCTGGCTTCACCGGTTCGGTGGGTTTTTCAGGCTTAGGCTTCTCGGGTGGTTTGGGCTTGGGCGGTTCGACGATTTCAATGCTTTTGATAGTCCCACAGCCTTTGCAGCAAATCTTGTCCCTGAGCTTCTCCGGGTTACAGCATACCACCGTTATGGTGACGATGTCATGCTTCTCGTCATAAAACTGGTCTCGAATTTCTCTTGTTCACAAAATTTTCAACACCCCAAAATCAACTCAGTTTGATTCTCTTTTCATTCACTAACCACACTGTTGGTGAACTGATTATTTACTTTAGTTTTGTAAATCATTCCATATTGAGCATGCAAGTTTTGAGTACCAGAACAATAACAGTAACGCCAAATTAATTAAAAAAGGAAAGAAATCGAATGAGAATTTGGCACTCACGAGGGAATTTGCAGAGAATTCTCTTGACCTTCTTGTAGCATTTGTGGCACTGGAGATCAACCTTGAGTTTCATAACGGTCACCTGATGAATGAACGTGATCGATTAGACATTTGGTTGAGAAATTAAGAATTTGAGTTGAAGAGTGTTGAATTAATTGGGATGAAATTGGAATAAAAGAATAATTAAGGGATGGGCATGGAAGTACCTTCTCAGCCATGGGTATGTGATGGAAAAGAAGTGTAGAGAATAAGGTATGGAAATGAGAGGGGGAAAGGGAAGAATGGATGGAGGAGGGTTAAGTAAGGAACAGGTGAATAACAAAATATTATTATTATTACTTATATTGATGATTGTGACAATCTTTTGTCATGATAAATAAAAATATGAAAGACATGCAACTATAACTTTCATCACATGCATAAATGATAGTGACAATTACGGTCCCTAAATTGTGACATAATAAATTAATGTGAAAATTATAGAAAATATAACATTTTGTTATCTAAAATATTTTTAATAAAAGTAATAAAAATCACTTACTCATTTACATAAATCACAATATTATTGTACATTTATCACATATATAAGATTTGTTAACTTATGAAAAGGAGTCAACAAGATCCAGGATAAAATACTATGTCACAATACTTAAAAAAAAATTAATGAAATTTGATTGAAACGTATAACTCTTTAAGCATTCAATAGATAAAAATATATATAATAGAAACTCAGTTAAAAATATTTAAATTTTCAAGAAATTCAAAACTTAATTATTCTTTTTCTTTTAAATATCTCATTTAAGATATAATATAATTTCATTCAAATATTTAACATTAAAAATATTTTTCTACTATGATAATTAGTTTTTTTAATATTATTTTAATATCGAAATTTTGTCAGGTTGGTTAAGGTAGATTAAGTTTCCTGGTGGAGGGATCGAATTCTTAACTCTTACTACAAATAGATTCATTTGTAGAAATAAAATGGCATTGATGCTTTATAGAAAGTTTCTCTTAAAAAAGTATATTGAAAAAAAAATGTTTGTATGATAAACTGTGAGTTTATTTTAATAATTGAATAAATATTTCAGACTCTGAAAAATCCATGACATACCTATTAATTAATTTAATAAACACACACTATGATTTATATTTAACTACTTTAGAATTGTTTTATTAATCAATAACGTAACAGATTTATTCTAATGATATAATAATACATTAACAACAAGATATGAAAAAGCTTGAACGCAGGTCTGGAGAACTAATAGTTAAAGCCATTTTTTCAGTGCAAAATATGATGTAACTAAACCAATCGTATTTTGTGGTTATTAAATTAATTAATAGGTATGGCATAGACTCTTCAAGGTTTGAAATATTTATTGAATTATTAAAATAAATTCAATTTATCACACGAACTTTTTTTTTTCAATGTACCTTTTTAAGATGATTTTTTCATAAAGCATCAATGTTATTTTATTTCTACAAATGGATCTATTAATTGTAATAGCTAAGAATCGATCCCTCCAAATCTTCATTTGGTGATTTATTCCAGCATCATCGATTTCTATCAAAATTATGTTATTTAGAATTGAATTCTGGAAAATATTTTATGATTTATTTAAAAATAAAAAAGAGAAAAAAATATAAGTAAAATATAAATATATTGTCATGTGATAAATTAGTCAAGAAGTTTAGGTAAGAGATAATGAATCAATTAATCATGGGATTTAATTATATGATCATTTGGTTTTCACCTTAAAGTTTGGTTTATTGGAGGGTATCATTCTCCTATTGTGTTTGAGATTTGTGTATGAATAGAAAATCATTTCATATAAAAGGAATGCATGCATACACTATTTAAGTAAAGGGGAAAAAATTGTTTTGATGTAATTATCCACAAATTTTTTAATAAAATATTATATCATAATAAAATTTTAATGTGAAAAATAGATGCAATGTGAAAATAACACTCCTTCAATGCATTTCAATTTTTTAATCCCTTTTAGTCGTTCATTTTACACTAAACTAATCTAAAACCCTACGTACGCACGGTTATTTTATTTTTTTAAAAAGGATTTAGGTTAGATTTATTATTATGATGATAGGTCTGTTTTTTTTATCCGTATCTTATTTTTAAATAAGTTAAAATTTTCACATTAATATTATAGTAATAAGGTCATTTTCAATTAAACTAATTGAACGATTTGATATTTAAATTGTCTTAAAGATATTGTGCCATGTGATTTTTCTCTTTATGTTTTTTTTGAATGCATTAGTTCACTGATATTTTTATTTTTGATTTTTCCTTTACTATGACAATATATTAATCCTGAATAATGGTGATGTCGATGGGACTAGCAATTCTAAATTGGATCAAGACTTTTATGATTAAGTAGTTATAATTTAATTAAAAGTGTTTCCAAACTTTTGAAATAAATATATTTAGATAAAAACTCCATCTTTTGAAAAACTTTAAATCCTTATGAGTGTAGATTTATAATGATCTTAACTTACCTTTTTGGATTTTATATTTATATATTTATTAGAAATATAATTTCAATTATTTTTTGGTATTTTTATTTTTGTTGATCATGTATTATTTTACTTAGTTTATACATTCTTATTTATTTTTTATGTAAAAATAAAAAACTTTATAAATATTTGAAAATCAATAAAATTTGTTATATATTTTAAACGATATTAAAACATAAGCTTTGAGTTGAACATAAATTTAGATTAAAAAGCAACGGGTAGAGTAATTTATTTAATGGAGTATGATACGATAATAACTTCTTTTAACAATTTTTTTACAGTGATTATTTTATTAGTTTACATATTTAAAATAGATTAATCACAAACTACCACGGATTATAAAAAAATTGTCAAAAAAAATTATTAAAAAACATTTTCCTTGTTTAATTCGTCTTCGTGTAGCATACTCGGGAAAGCAAGTGTATTAAAGACATCATCACTAACCAACGTGAATTTATTTCTAACGTTGGAAAGTACATGTCCGTGTGCTATGGAAAGTGTCACACGTGTTAACAAATTTGACCACTTATCCTTCATCTCAACTTCTTCTTTGACGTTATAGAAAAACAAATATTTTAAATTATTTGTGATTTTATTATCGTTGGTTACGTTAATTTTCGGTGAGGGAAGTCAAATTGAGAAAGCTATTATTGAAGATTAGTATTCACATTGTCACACTTATAAATAAAAGACAATTTCATATTTAATAAATTTAGTTATATGTTGAATACTTTTAACACTTTTCTTAATCAATATTTTATGTACTGACATATAAATAAGCATTTTAATAAAATATATATATATGTAAAATAGTAATATATCAATTTTTTTAACAAAATGATATATAATTTTATAAAGACAGACTTTAATTTACATATTTTTATAAATCATGGAAATGATAAAAATACAGTTTAAAAAAATTATTCTAAATTACTTCTATTTATATGGAAACCTTTTATATTACAAAAATATATAATAATTTAAAATTACAACTAATATATTTTCTCTTAAACATATATATTATTTAATTTTATATAAATAATATAATTTAAATTTGGGTTTCGCAGTAATTATATATATATATATATATATATTATACAAATTAATATTATCAAAGTTATACAATTTTGTAGTCATATATTTTTTTCTTAAAATTATAAATAAATTATATAAGTTTTTACAAATCAGTTTGTCCAATTGATATAGATTTTCATTAGGAAATTTTCAATGGAAATGTGTATTAATTGAGAGTATTTTTCTAAAAACAGGCCGAAAAAACTAGTTGGTGAACTTAACAAAATAAGGGTGTTGCTCCCTCCACCATCACTTCTCTCTCCACCTCCTCAACCTTTTGCAAAAAAATTTTAATTACAAAAATAACATTTTTTATTTTTAATCCTATTTATTTACTTTAAACTCAAACCCTATTTTTTTACCCATTTTTACTTTTCACTTAGTCCCACCTCCCAACTCTTCTTCTCTCTCTTTCCAGATTTTCACCACTCAACTCCACCACATCCGTTTGTTTTAATTACAAAAATATTAATATAATAAAATTATATATTTCATAAAATTAAACTAAAAAATAATTTTTTATATAATTATAAAATTGTTAAAGAATACAAAAACCATATATAAAAAATATATATAATACAAAAACATTAAAAAAAAAAACTAATTATATATAAATACAAAATACAAAAAAATAAAAATATAAACTAATAACAATAAAGATCTTCAAAAATACATTACTAAAATACATCAAAAATATATTAAAAAATAATACATCAAAACATATAAATTACATTATTAAAATATCTCCAAAATTAATATAAAAAAATAAACTAATAAAAATAAACTGAAAAATAAACATGTAACTTTAAACGGATGTGAGCATTCGTCAACGCATGTGAGCATCCGTCAACGGATGTCAACATCTGTTTAAGGCAAAACGGATATCGACATTCGTTTTCCCTTAAACGGATGTTGACATCCGCGGAGGGATGCTCACATCCGTTTAAAGATTATACGTTTATTTTTTTAGGGTTTATTACGCACCTTCACGATGAATCCTTCAAGCACCGTCATACCACCACCACACACCGATCTTGGCACGGTTGATCAATTGCTTCCACCACCACTTGCAATCTCTCACTAAGCACACCAGCTAATGAAAGTCCACCACACTCAGAGACCACAATTCTATCACAATTAAATAATGAGAGGAAGAAGTGGAACGTGAAAAAGAGGAAGAAGAGCATAATGAAACAATGAGGGGACGAACGATAAAGAGAAAGAAGATTTGTCGTTACATACATGTAGAGGATTGGAGTGGGTAGAGCTTAAAAAATATTAACCCTAAAATTTTACTAAGGGTAAAATAGGAATGAGAAAATAAAGAGAGGGGTAAAACTAGGGATGGCAACGGGTTGGGTCGGGCATGGATAGTGCCTACCCGCAACCCAACCCGACCTGACAAAAAAAAATCCACGTGCTACCCGCACGGGTACTCGCTTAAAAAATATCCGTGAATATTTTAAAACCCGTGAATATCCGTAGATACTCGCGGATACCTGAAAATATTAAAAAAATATATATTTTTA